AGGGAGGGGGTGGGGTGGGTGGAGGGGTAGTAGGGTGGGTGGTAATGGAAAAATTGAAATTTGAAAAAAAAAAAGCCTTTTGGAGAGAGGGGGTGGGGTGGGAAAGGTTGAGAAGAATTTTGGAAAATATTTTCCCTTCTCTTCATAAGGAAAACATTTTCCTCCAATTGGAGGAAAATGAGTTCATAAGGAAAATGTTTTCCAAAATATTTAAGCCAACCAAACATGGAAAAATTGAAAAATATTTTCCGGAAAATATTTTCCTTCATACCAAACACACCCTAAGAGACTAAGTGATCATTTCACTCCAAAACTACTCCGAACCCAAACCTACTAACTCGATACAACTCAACACAGCTGAACAACACATAAATAAGTATAGATGGGGGAAATGGGGCTATAACTCTCAGAACGAATGACCGGGTCATTACACATAACTACGGGTACGGATCCCGTGACGTAGTTGTGATACATAATTCCCAAAATTTGGGTGCACATTTCATGCGACTCGACTACAACTTCAAATATTAATAATAATAAGTATGTTGTGAGTCGTGGGTGCGGTTCACGTGACAAAATTCGCAATGTGTATAAAACAACGAGTGCACAACGTCGTGACTTGTTCAAATAATTCCATAAGTCCTAAAAGCAATTAAAATTCTTTTAAAAACGGCTATAAAGTTAAAATACACAATAGGCTTTAAATGTGTAATAAATTGAGTAATTAGGCCAATTATTAACATATGAGCGGCCGTGCTAAAACCAGGGAACTCGGGAGTGGCTAACACCTTCTCCCGGGTTAACAAAATTCCTTACCCGGTCTTATATGTTTCGCGGACCGTAAAAATAGAGTCAAACTTCCTCGATTTGGGATTAAAAATAAATTGGTGACTTGGGACACCCTAATAACTATCCCAAGTGGCGACTCTGATTAATTAAATAATCCGATTTCGATAACGTCACCTTAATTGGAAAAAGCTCTATATTCTCTCGGAAAAAAGAGGTGTGACAATAATAAATATGTACAAATATTAAATGATGTACCCAGTAACTCAAATAATCAGCGAATTTAATAGCATATCGAATTCGTAAACTTCAATTCATCACTCCGTCTGTAATAGTAAATAAAGTTCAATTAACCACTATAATAGTAAAGTTACTAAAGTTTGCCACTGTAGGGACAAAATTAATTAATTAAGTTGACTTTACTGTTATAACGGATAAAATTTAATTACTTTAATATGATAAAAAAAAATTATGACTTAGCCATTGCGGTGGATGAATTTCAGCAGTCATACTTGAAAGTAACCATATGCAGTTTCTTATCAAATTAAAGTAGCACTAAGACCGCAAAAGCATTTTTGTGTTCGATTCTCAAAGTTGTTCCCTTTTATCCACAGTTGCAACAGCTTAATAATATGCTGCAACAATCCCATAAAGAAGAGCGGTGTCGCAAGCAAGAATTTGGTGCGATTGACATTGATCGTAGGTCAGATAACAAAGACAACATCAAGAACGAAATGGATACAAAATGTTGCCTGTCTTTTGACTTATCAGAGCACGGATTTGGTGTTATTTCAGATGATGACAGTAGCATAAAGGCAGATTATTTTGGTGTAAATCAAGATTCTGATCTTATGAACATAGTTGAACCTGCGGATGGAACATTAACCTCACCTGAAAATTTGGGCAGCCTAGAATATGATAATCTTTTCAACAAGCCTAGTACAGATTACGATTGGTGGGATTTTTGGTCATAAACGAGTTAAAAAAGGATTCTTTGAGTGTTGGGAAATATGCCAAAAATAAACTCATCCCGTTTGCCTTGAGGGGAAACTGAGATGTGGTGCATTTGTATCCGACAGAATCCACTATATCTAGCTCGGAATATATTTGTGTGTGGAAAACGTAGGCACACATATTAGGAAATGTGTGAGAAATTCAGCATTCAAAAGGTATAATCTCTTAATTAAAATTATTTTGTTTCTTTACATATTCCTCTACCACTTAAACCCCTTTGATTCTTCTGGGTATTTTGTTGTTGTGTCGTTGTCGCTTGGACTGGACTTCAAGTCTATGCCTAATTAAGAAAAAAACTAGAATCGAAACACGAAGGAAAAATACTGATTTCATTAGTTTCTATTGAAAATTGATACTCCAACAAAACTGCCAAAACAAGGAAACCGTACTATTTGTTTGTTGGAATTGTTATTTCATGGGTGTTTTTTTTTAATTCACATGAACGGCATCATAGGATCGAGAACATCATGTGTATAATAATTTTTTTTCCTTTGCTTCCATATTCAAAAATAATCAAGCTTTTGTACTGAAAAAATAAGCCTATCCTTAGTGTCATCAAACTCTTATCTCCTTTAAAGTTGCAAATATTGCATAATATTCAAGTATTGATTTTATGCCATTATTCAACATCATCTCAATTAAGTTTATATACTATTTATATTCTTAGTACAAGATTATATAAATATTTATACTTTAGCGTATATTGCTCGTAATCACATCATATAGAAAGGGGGATAGACAGTGGTAACCTTCAATTATATTATTGTTATCGATTTGAACTTCATGAAAATATTGCCAAATTGGTCAAAATCTTGGATGATTTGCTGATAGTGGCCTTTGATGTTGGCTGGGATTCTTCAAACGGGGATAGAGAGTGCGTATATACAGGAAAAGAAAGAGGGGATAGAGAGTATGTATATACAAGAATTAATATACACATGATTAGTGCAGAAGGTTTTTAAAGATTAATCTGATGACAACCTTAAATGTTATAACTTAGTACTACAACTGTGTTTGTTTCATCAAATTTCTTCCCCGAAGAAGCACAAGAAGGGGGCTTGGTAGTGGGCTAACTAACATCTTGTTCTTTATTTTCCTTTTTGAACATTTTGTCATGGCCTATTTTTTTAATCGAATTTGGCTGATATTTTCATCACCTTCTCTTGCCTGGCTTCTTCATTGTTTAGATTTGTTAGTTGGATGAGTGTGTTCATATCATTTTAATATGGAAAAGAAGATGTCGAACATTTGGACAGTGTTTTTGTATTTCTGCAATTTCTGCACTGCGTTTCAGAAATTTCTGCATTTGTGGACAATATTTTTGCATTTCTGCACAATTTTTCTGCATTTTTGCACTGCGTCTCGGCAATTTCTGCAATTCTGCACAGTGTTTCTACATTTACGCATAGCGTTCCAGCAATTTTTGCGTTTCTGTACATCGCTTCAGCAATCTCTGCTTTCTGCACAGTATTTCGGTATTTCTGCACTGCGTTTCTACAGTGTATGCATTTTTGCACCGCGGTTCTGTATTTCTGCATAGTCTTTTTACATTTCTGCAGAACGTTCTGCATTTTCTGTATTTCTGCACATTAGGATGTCCAAGTGAGATTAAACTGTGCATTTCTACTCTTGAACATATTATTGCATTATATTCTTTTTCCTTTTTGATTTATTAATTAGTAAACTTCTTTTGGTGCTAGGCCATGTGCAATAAAAATTCTGAAAATAGGAAAAAATAAAAGTAGAGGCATCGGATGGGATCTATTAATTTTGCAAGAGTACACGTGGCATTGGTAATATTTATTCGACACTTATGGAAAACATGACTTCTATTTCATTACACACTTTTTTAGAATTTTGGAAGGTCAGTAATGCATTTATGTCATGTCAATTATTACTTACGATCTATACTGAAGTTGGCAAAATGACTTACTATAAGTACTCAATTTTTTCTAATTTTAAGTTCAACTGGTAAAAAAAGAAGCAGATGGGCTTGTAGTAGGGGCAATGAGGTTGATGGAAGCCGAGGCGAGTAAGATAAAGAGTACATCACTTGATGCCATTGGTAAATTCCTGAAATTTTATGTTCATCAGGAGAGAGAATGTGTAACAGGTTGTAATTTAAAGAAACTTCTTTTTGGGTGTTTTATCTGCGTATTTGTGTGATGAATATGTAAGCATATATCTGAAATTATAGTTGGAAGATTTGCCACCTGAAGCACTTCTGCTTTGATGATAACTGAATTAAGTTCTAGCTGGTTATTTTAAGCTAATTTTGATTTCACTGCTAAAAATTGTAAAATAGGTTCATAACAATAAAAGGGAAGAAAATAAACTTATCATTTTTGCGTCTAATATTTGTTAAATCTTTTCTTATATTAGTAACTATATGGACATCTCATTTCACATGGATTTGGACTATAATTTACAGCTTTGAAGCTTCATATTTAATGTTCATGTTGCTTACAGAGACACCTTTGAACCAACACTCAGCAAATAGAAAAATGATACTTTGATAAGTTATTCATATTTTACTTATTATAGAACAAAAGAGGAATAAAAGGTTAGCTTATTTATCATGATCAATGGCTTAATTCATCAAGTCTACTACCTGGAGTTTATCATTTACATTTTCAATATTGCCATAGGTACTAACAATAAATTGTAGTTGGAGCTTCTGCTGCCGGACTACTTATATGATAAAGTAATTCACTAGCACATACATTAAACTCTGGCCCAAAGAAAAGAGAAGGAAAATGGCACTTCGCTAAGAGAGTGTAATGAGGCTAAAATTATCTCTCTTTTCCTGTTTCTAATTTGTGTCTATTTAATGTCTGCTAGGTTAGATTTTGTCGTTGAATCTCCTTTTATTTCACTCGATTGATCCAATAGACCTATGGCAGCCATTTATATTTGATAAGTTATTGCTTGCATGCTTGATGAAGTGAATTGTACGAATCCAAGAAATTGAATTGCATTATGAGACCCTTTTGTTCCTTAACAAATCATAATTTTCTTTCATTTGTTTTTTTATTCATTTGTTTTATCTTTTATGAGCGTCCTCATTGGTACATATAGTAACTTATAACTGCTTCGGAAGAACTTGTGGGCAACATGCTTAATCAATCTTCTCAAAAGGTAAACATTTTATTAAAATATGTTTTGATATCCCTGAGATCTTTCTCTGGAATATTGTCGGATATATGGCAAGCATTATTGTGGTTCCCCTCCTGTGATACAAGTGTCTGATACAAATTTGCTTTGATCAATTTCTATAGACTATAATAAAGGTGAAAAGTGAATTAACTTTTAATTCAACAATCCTTCCTCATTGACAGGTTGAAGTAATTGAATAGTCATGTGAAATGGCTAGGTGTTGATATTCGACAGATGGATTTATAGTACTAACACTTCATGATGAATGACTAAGTGAATCTTGAAACTGTGTAGCGAAATTTTCGATAAGTTTGTTGTGACTAAAAGAGAGGACAAAGTTCTTTTAGAATAGATATTGGTTAGTAATAATCAAAATGTCCCTTCAAGGACATCCGATAAATTAACAATAAAAAAGAATATGTTTTGGTTTTTCCAAAAAATATGATCATTGTGACCTGATTAGTGTTCCTTTAGACGGATAATCCAAAATATTTTTTTCATTTTAGATGAATTTTCACTTTTAATAGCTTATGTACCTGTGAGCCTGTTTCAAATGTGATTTAGATGCCATTACTCTGTATAGTAGATATTCTTGATGGAAAAGAGAAAAAGAAAAGTTAGGAAAGAATGATTAACCCAAAGTAGAATTAGACTTATTTAAACTTCTATCAATATGAAATGCATTCAGATTCTTTTGGGAGGCGTAAGTGCTTTTTGTGGTTTCAAGGGTATTCGTGGCCGATGTCCCACTACGAGTTTTGATATTTGGAAACTGAATACTGTCATGTTTGACTTGGAGATATTCTTTTCGGATTAAAAGTTTGTCTTGAAGATAAGGTTATGATGCTCATTAAGCTAACCCTGCTCCTACGCTTGACTTATTTTCTTCATGTAAAATCCTGTTGAGAAGATATACATAAATTTAATCTAGATTATATAATTTAAGGTTTAATGCCTATGTTTGACTTATTTATTAGCATATAGGGAAAAAGCCTAACTTTGCTAGGATGGAGAAGGAACAAGCAAAATGAGAATTTTCTGCTTTCCTTGAGGCTGTTCAACTCAGTTTGATGCTTTTATTTGAGAAGAGGAGAATGTTATTCAAGATTAAATTTATGTAGTTGAGGGGATGGTGATTCTGTCATACTATCATTGTTCTTTCTGTTGTAAGTTATTAGTTTCTACCTTTGTGTAAGTGATGATATTCTTGTTATATTCTAGTTTTTAGCTTCAAACTTCCTGAAGAAATTTGTTATGGCACTTAGCATATAGTTGCAACTACACTGCAAACTGGTATTTCACATAGGCAAACATTACATGTATGTTACGACTGTAAAAAGCATTTGTGATTCGACTCAACATGGACATAAAGTAGACTTTCAACAAGCATATAAATGCTTAAAGTGTTGAAGCATGCTTAGCCTGTCAAATTGATTATTTAAAGAATACTAACATTTTATGTCCTCTTTTAAATGTTTTGCAGGAAAATGGACAGAGGGCTCGGCTAACAACTGATGCAAATTTTGGAGCCTGTTGAGTGACAGATTAGAGTCACTGATGTATATGGTTTTGTGTTGTGCAATTTAAATTGGACATAACATGGTGTAATACTTTGGTGCTTCATCTCTTTACCGGTGCACATTCCCTCAAGCAAATCTCATGTTTCTGACATTCCGTTGTTACTTTTCAACGTTCTTGTATTGCTTTGTCATATTTGGATTTACATGGTTTTTTTTTTTACTTTTTATTAAGTAAAAATAAAATGTATCAATATATTTCACATTTCATGGACCAATATGTCGGG